GTTTGTTTGAGCAGATGTTCCGTTTATGTGTTCAATGTGGATGTTCTGATAAATTGAAGATTCTATAACATTACAGCACTTTTAAGCATTCAAATACTAAACGTAATGGAAAAATAAAAAATAATACTTACAAAATAAGTTAATAATATTTTATTCTATTAAATGAAACAAAAAAACTCACGCAGATTCAGAAATAGAACCTATTTCGATTTAATGCAATTTTTTATTCCGTTCACTTGGAATATCTCTCATAAGTGTGATATATTGCATTGCGATTAGGTAGAATTATATATTTTGATGTCGACACTGAAATTTTATCCAAAAAACCTTAATTTTTCAGCGTAATGAAACCTTAAAAAAAAATCATAAGCAATGGATCAAACGAACAAAGCAAAAAACGTTATAGAAGACAGGGCTTGAAAGGGAATTAAAGTTACTCATCTGTTGCAACAGTGGATAATAAAACGCAGCAGGCCGTCAACTCATGACGTCACGCTATTTATATGACGTGGTTTTGAGATTTTAAAATTAACCATCTGCCCGAGTCAGGCTTTTAAGTTTCTTTTTGGTATCACGAATGAAAGATCAGTCCATGGTACGGATGCAGTATATCTCGATTGACTTCTTCCTTTGACTCCACTCCCCTTCGACACTATCGTTTCTTACTTTGCCTTCGCCATCCTTTTACTTAGTTTTACTACGTAAGACCGACCTCCTGTTTGTCTGTACCCTTGAACCTAGCAGACATTGGCGGTGTTGCCAGCTCTTCCAACTATTCAGTTGTGCTTTCATAAAAAGAATAAAAAACTATATGTACATGATATGATTATAAATTTTGCGTATACAGCTGTATCCTGTTAGTAGTATTAACTTCTGTCTACTCTAAGACGGTCTAAAATAAAATAACGATTCTGTAGTCCTTAAAATTAAGAAATAGAGTAAAAATATCTTTATTCTAATGTGTATAACGATGCAGATAGTTTTAAATTAAAAATTTTCAATTCATTTTATTGTTTTTAATAAGTATGAAGCTATAGAAGATTTTTTTTTCAATTGAACAAAATTCTTTGAATGCTTAAGAATGCCATTATATTCTCAGATAATTATGTGAAAGAAAAGATCTTAAGCTGAGAAGATTTTGAAGAATTAGGTCATTTTAATTCAAGAAGAAAAATTCTTAAACTATAAAAATTTTTTTTTTGGTTTAGATAAATTTTATTGGTTTAAGAAAATTTTTGCTCGATTTAAGATACAAGAAATTCTTTAAAATAATCTTTTTTTAACAAATACGTAATTTGTGTAAATCGATTTTTTGTGTAGTAAAGTATTTCTCAATTTCTTCAACAAATAATATATGCTTATAAGAAGTTAAAAACTATAAAAAAAAAAAAAAAAAAAAAAACAGGTTTGCATAGTCTCTAGATAATTTTTCACATATTATAAAACTACTTACTAATCATTTTTAAGATTGGTACAGCATCAGTGAGACAAATACTTTACTAGAGCACTCAAAGTTGAGTGTAATTAGATCATTGGGATTTTCTAACCCCTGGATATATAATGCAATACAGAAAATAAATATAAAACTACACGTTGCATGATACGCGTTTTTGCAAATCACAAATAGAAAATAGTTGTTTACTTCAATACTATTTATATGGGTAAAGGAAACTGGTTAACAATCTTCTTTAGTGTCCTCCCGACTTCGGCAACGAAAAAAATTTGTATAGAACTGCTCACGTCGTCTGACCTACATTATCACAGTTTTGATTACCTGATGTTTAATCTAATAAATTCATCAAAAAACACCCGTTTAAATTTTGAATACATTTTTTCATCAATATATTGTAACTCTTCATCCAGACACCCTTAGAATAAATTATTTTTTGTGTTGCAAGAAACTGTTGGATACGAAAAGACGCTATTCTATTAATATTTTCTATCAAAAATAGATGAGTAATTACGCGGCAGATGAGTTATTGATTTTAAAAATAAAAATCTAGTATTAAAACATTTTTTAAAAGACAAACTTGATAAATTAAAATTTTTTTCAACTATTCAGGCTTTAAATCATTGTGTTAGTTTACAAATCAAATAATGTAATAAATACTGTTTATTTTTAGTATACAGTTAATTAGTAATAAAAAAAAAAAAATTAAATCGCTTCTCAGCCAGTTTAGCTATTAGCTAATTAGCAAGCTAATTCATCGTTGACCAGTTAAATCAACCAAGATTACAAGTTAGTTAGATAATTGACATTATTAACGTTTTCTATATAAATAATAAATTTTGAGAACGAGATTTCTGTATTTTTAATTCAGGAAGTAGCTCAAATTATTTTGTTTCAATAATTTACTCCAATTACAAAATTTTAACCTTATTAATTAATTTCTCCTTTTTCAATTTTATTAATAGAATGAAATATTAATTTTTCTAGTTCTAGTAATAACTTTTAAGAAACCATTCTTTTTTTAATCAATTACTTTATTCATAAGATAAAGTTTGAAAAATCAAGAATCTCTCAATGCAACAGTAATTCATGTGTAACCTTTAAAAAATATAGGTCATAAAACCTTTAAAAAAAATAAAGTACGCATTGAACCGGTTAGTTTTCGCACATGAGAAACTTTCAAAAATTCCAGCGATGACGTCATTCTATATTTTTCTGATAAATTGAATTTTTAATAAATTTAAAATGTTCTAAGAGATAATAAAAATATCAAAAATATAGACAAAATTTAATATTAGCATTCACAATTTGTTCATTATATATTATTTAAATTGATATTAATGGAATGATGTTTGAACTCATCCAAAATATAAGAAGATATTTATATTTTCATAGTATTTTAAATTTTAGATTGTAAATCGACTGAAAAATTAATTGATTACAACCCACTAATTTACTTATTACACCAAAATTAACATATATAATACCTTTCTCGGTTGAATCGGCTACGATGGAAGAATAGCATTTCTTTCAAAATTTGTTAGTTGTTTATTATTTATTCTTAAGTATTTAAATTTCTAGAATAAATATTTAGATGCATGTTCAAGTTCAAATCATGTAAAAAATTTTTTATAAAAATTCACTTTCACCACTTTAGATTCAAATAAACAAAATTTAAAGTTTAAGGTTGCACGGACAGTACCCCGTAAGTCATAGTAGAATCTAAATTTTTTTTTCATTAAACTTAAAAATTTAAATACGAAAATTCATTACTATAATTTAATCGTTACTTTACATTATTATTAAATAAAATAATTTAATAATTTAATTAACAACAACAATAAATAGTCAACGTTTGACTCAAGTATTTTTTCACAAAACTTGGACCTGACAACACCGCACTTAACAGCTGTTTATATTTATCTCACTGTGTAGTGTTGAGTTGAAAAACATAACCCATAAAAAAACACAGGAATTACTAAAATTCAAAATTCGCGCGTTCTATTCTGTGCAACGTTGCCACACTGCGCTGAATCACGTGGTTTGTTTATTTTTAAATATGTCGGCCTGAAATTTTCGTGAATTTCTCATCTTTTGCATTAAAATATCTTTAAAAGCCTTCGGCAGAAAATTTTCATTTTATTTTTAACGTATTCTACGAAAGTTGATTGACTGAACTAGAAGTTTTTTGTTTTTTAATCTTCCTATGAGGCAGTCACATAAATCGATATATGTGCAATCCGCCAATAGTCTCTATAGGCTACATGTTAAATTTCAATTTTTTAATAATTTATTAAAGGATAACCCTTCGACAGATCTATTCAAAAAAATTAATTTAGACGTATGAGATAGCAATTCATAACATATCAAAAAATTAGCTTCTGATCTTCAAAAGTGCATTAGTGTCCGTACAACCTTAAACACGGAAATGTTACGGGAAACAGAAAATTTTTTCGGTATTAGGATCATGACTGTGCAAAAATACAATTTCTGCAAAAGGTGAGAAATAATATTCTGGAATGGAATTTTTGGCCGTAAATGATTAGACTAAAATTTTGGAAAAGAATCGTTTTTGATCTAAGATAAGAATTAATTCTCATTTAGGTATAAGTATTCTGAAGATTACCCGAAAAAATTTTTTTATAAAATGTTGTGGAAATTCAAAAAATTTCCTTAATATTATCAAATTAAGCTACCTCCCTCCGTACAACCTTAAGATTATTCTAACATCTAAATATCTATTCCAACTATTTCAATTAGGTTATGTTAATATATGACATTAAAGCAGTCACTTGATAATTTTTTAATTTTATTTAATAAATAAATTTGCTTCGAAAAATTATTTCTAAAAAATTAGATTTTTTATTTATTTAATTTTCTAAATGTCAATTTTTTTTCTCATTTTCTTTGACATAATTTAATTGTTAAAAAAAATTTTTTAAATTATAAAATATCTGGTAAATTAATTTTCATTATGTTAATTTTTTATCGCTTTATGCAAATATAACTTTGCTACGTTGGAATAGAGTAATTTTAAAAAGTGCAAATTTTCGAAAAATAAATAATATTTATTTTAATGTTTAATTTGTATTGTTCAATGGTTACTCTTAGCGAACTTTTCTATTTACTTACTTTTGGTTCAACGAACATGAAGGCAAAAATGACTACATTGTACTTCAACAGCTGGACTCTTCTAAATTAACTGAATTTTCATAAAAGTGATATAATTTGTCAAATACTTTTTAACGTTCACATGTGTTGTTTTACCGCGAAGAGTAAACATATATTTAAATTTTAATTCAACTTCAGTTCTTTAACCTGATTATGGATATCCATATTTCTTTTTATTCTAAATTTTAATGAGACCAGATTTTTAAACTTTTTTTTTTTTTTTTTTATTAATATCAGGCTTATTTTTTTTTATTTCTCTTATCTCAACACAGGAATAAACTCGGTTTTAATAAAAGACATGGTTTGAAAAACTGGCCCTTAGCTTTGAAAAAAAAATTTGGATATTCATTAGCAAGCAAACTGCCATCGAGCAAAGCCGCTAAGATTTACTGTACGGATAACGAAAAAGAGCAGCACTGGAAATTATTAAGTGATTTTGATCGCACATTCAAAATAAACATATGCAACTGAGAAAAAACATGAACCTGAGGATGGAGAAGAAAATTCTTTAAAAAATTAAATATGCATAGAACATCCAAAACGAGTTTAAGAAGTACAAAACAGATTTAAAACGCTCCTAATAATTTTTCATAATTCATCTATTGAGTTAATTGCTAGCATAAATTAAAGATTAAATAACTAATTAATAATTGTCATTTACATAAATATATCTACATGATTTTTATCATGAAATTACGATAATGGTTTAGTTTAGTTTATTTATAATTATGCCAAAGCCAAGGCCAAATGGCAATGAGAGAATATACATAAAATTTTATAATTATTGTGTAATTTTAAATCTACATTTATATGTAAGAAAATAAAAGAAGAAATAAAACAAAAAAAAAAAGTTTAGGGAAGATTAGAATATTTTCAGCCTTAAGGGCCATACGTAACTAGTGGATCTTTAATTCAAGTCCATAGATGATTAAAGATCCACTAGTTACGTATGACCCCCCTGTTTAACTTAAAAGGAAATCCTTTCGCTCCAGTTGAGTCAAAACAATTGTAGTAGTCAATATACGATAAATTAAAATAAAAAACCGAATCAAATTACAAATAATGTTTGCAAAATTAAAAAGCTTTTTCTTGAAAATTGACCAACATTTCTGTAATATTACAATGCGTGTTAGGTTTATACAAGAAGATTGTAAAATTACAATACATCTTAGTAGATTTCCTGACAGGGTGTTGGAAAATTACATGAATTGTATTTTATTTAGCATTGCTATACACTGATTTGTAATTTTACAAAAATTTTTAACAGTGTGTAAATAAATAAATTAGTTTGAATTTATTGAATGGTCTGAAGTTCGCGCGCTACGCAACGTTGCCAAATTTTTTGACTCCATTTTAACGTAGGTTGCTTGAGAATTTTTTGTGATTTTTAAATATTAATTTCCCAATAAATATTTCGGTAACTGATATATTTTATTGCAAAAAAATAAACCTGAATATTTCGAAAATCTAATTTTTAGTTTTTTTTTTACTTCATCTAATCCATGGCTGATAGTATAATTCGAGAAATACTGCAAACGTCTGACTTTCTCGTAAGACTCTGAACAAATACTAACATTTAAAAATTTTATTTTTTCAAAAATTTGTCCGGTAAAGTATAATTTAAACCTCACTATTAGATAAATAAAGACCTTAACTATTAGAAAAAAAATTGAATTTACTCATAATCTAATATTTTTTATTTTACATTGGCGGCGAAAGGACCTCCTTAATAATATTCATTGAAAAAAATTCACTGTCATGAGATTTGAGTTTTTTTCAATAATTCCAATTGATTTCAATTTCTCAGTATATATCTAAAGATATATAATTTGGATAGAGCGAATTTTTTAAATTTTTTTCAATGAATATTTTTAAACAGGGCCTTAAGGCTGATAATATTCTAATTTAAAAACACATAATCGGTCAATGAAAAAAAAAAAAAAATAACTTGAAAAGTTTAGTGAAGATGTTTAAAGTATTTTTAAGGTAAATAATATTCTTAATACAATGATAAAAAATGGTTTAAATTAAGTTGTTAATTTTTTTTTTTACATTTTCATTCATAATGAGATTACATCTTAATTATTTTTCTGTTATCTAAAAGGCTTGACCGCACTAAATTAATGTATTTGCTAAAACTTAATTTTTCTAATTGCTATTTAAATAATTTTTGAATTCAAATAAATTAAATATTCAAAAACTAATTAAAAAAAAAATTTCAGAAAATACATATTGACTATGCGCTAGCCTTCACATTGATACTTGTGTATTGTTGTGGGAATAGAACAAAACTTTTATTTTTTATAATAATTAAAATGAATTTATTTGTATACAAATAAAAAATTATGACACAAAGCCCAAAATAATTTTGTAAATAAACGAAAGAAAGAAAATTGTTTGTAAAAAATAATCATGTTTAAAATATAAGAATGGGTATAAATTTTAATAATATTAAGTTTTAAGTATAAAGTAATGTTACAAAGTTTGTGACAAACACAAAGCCGTATTTACATCGCACATTTACTTCGTTTATTTCTAATTTACCTACATAATTCATTCATATGCCATGCACTATCTATACTTTCTATACTATGGAGGGTTGAGGTACCTCTACCCTCCATAATCTATACTTACAAGTTATTATAACATAACCTATTTCAACCTATTCGAAAACATTCAATACATAACCCACAATTTGATACTAACTGTTATTGCAATATCAAAGTATACTTATTTAAAAATTTAAATAGTAACAATGGCAATGGCTGGAACCTCCGTCGAAGCTGAAGTTGAAGCAATTAAATCTGTAAGTATTAGAGTTAAACGATTTTTTACTCTACATTTGTGATTCGTTTTACAAATAATTTTTTTTTTTTTACCTTCAAGTTTAGAGATTTTCTTACGTCGTACAACAAATTATCAGAAGTCTGCTTCATTGATTGTATATCGGATTTTACTTCGAGAGATCTCAAAAGTAAAGAAGAAAAATGTGCTGTAAATTGTATGGAAAAATATTTAAAAATGAATCAACGTGTGTCTCAACGGTTCCAAGAGTACCAAATGGTTATGAATGAAAATCTAGCAGCAAATATGAAGAAGTTGGGGTGAATGTTATTTATTAAATATTGTTCATGTATAATAAGGTTTATTGAATAAATATTATTAAAGGATTTATCATATGTAATTTACTAACTTAACTGGAAAACTTGTACATGAGTATAAAAATATTTTATTCTATAAGTTTTGTTATAAGCATTTAAAATACGGTAATAAATACTAAAAAACTGTTTAATTCTTGATATAATTTTTAATGTAAAATCTATAATTGTTAAAAAAAGACCTATTGAAATCAGTAAGACAGCTTAGAAATTTAATAAATTTAAAAATAAACACTCAGTTCTATGATCATTATATAATTTTTTATTGAATAGCTTATATTCATTTAATTTATTCAACTAGTGATTCCATTTTTAGAATTATTATTTCAAACTACATGTTTTTTTTTTTTTTTTCAATAACTAACATAAAATTGTTAACAGAGATTAGATAGCTTTTTATTTAATTAAAAACTCAGATGTTAAAAGATTTAATATAAAAATTTGACTCAAAGACCGTTAAAAATTATGTATCATTAGTTTAAATTTTTATAACAAGTAATTTGTTGATTGCTGGCAATTGTACTTAACAATGTGATAAAATTTTTTTTTAAATAAATAAATTAAAATGAATTATGAATGTGAATTAGTTAAAAAACAATTTACATTTTATCCATGAATAAAATATCTAATAGTTTTAATTATGAGTCATATGGCCCCAATGAATTTATTGGTTCTGGAAGAATCTGCATTGGATTTCGCAGCGGCAAAATTGGAGGAGTTGGATCATTAGTTGACGATTCCTGAATGTCATCATTTGAATTTTTTAACTCAAAATTTGGTGAATGTGGTGGAGTTCTTCTCAGTCTTTTGTAATCAGAAAATCTTTTGAAAGAAACTTGATCAACACAAATAGCTTGAGTTGTGTGTAGAGTTTTATACAAAACTGGACAATTCAAGTCACCTTTTAAATTGAGACTGTAAAGATTAGCTAGTCTTCGTAATTTTTCTCGTTCAGGCTGATGCATCGGGTGCAATTTAAGTTCACTTTGAGAAGGGTCTTGAAGAAATCTCGATACTTTTTCATTGGCAGAAGTTATAATGGAATAGCCAGGCTTGTTGTCAACATGACGGCGTCCAGCGCGAATTTCCCGTCCACTCAAACCATCTCGAATCCATTGAATTCTTTGACGATAATTCCTTTTAGCTTCATCAGTTAGATGTTCGAAATTTCTTTGTAGCATTGATTGTAAAGCTGGATTAGTCGGTATTTTGTCATCATTTGTACAATCATCATCCCACAAGTTAGATTCACCAAACCAATCCGATTGCTCATCATCACCTTCTCTATCCTCATCATTAGTAATAATTCCAGCTTCTGAATCACTCGATGAAATACTTGAACTTGAAACTCTTGAACAGTCCATTGCGTCTTCACTTTGGGTTTTAGCACGATTTTTAGATTTTTGATTGCGTGGTTTTGGTGAAATCATTTCGCAATCAAATGATTTGTCACGACATGATCTTTTTCGTTTTCCGCACCAAATTGTACCATATCTATTTTCACAACTGCTTCGAATAACACGTTTCTTTTTACCAACAGAATGCGCTAAGAATGTGATAGCTGTTTGTGACGTCGATGGGTTTGAGTCGGAATCTATAGCCATCCGTTTAAATTTTCTTTTCCGTTTTGTGTTGATTTTTGGTACAAAGTTTTCATTGACAGAATCACTTTCAATATTACTTATGTTGTTTAAATTTGAAAATCGAGCAAATCTCTTAGTTTTATTAGTATCATCACTATCGGATTGATATTTTGATACTGATGAAGCTTTCGGAATACGTACACCGTAAGCAGAAGATGAGCTGTCATCCGAGTGTTTATTAGTATTCAATGATGCTGAAAAATTAAAATTATTCTATTTTAGCATTATTACTTTAGTCATTATCTATATTCTGATTATTTAATTCTTTTTACTCGATTAATGTCTTAAATTATGTTATATATTACAACGTTATTAACAAAATTACAAACAAATAGCTACCTCATTTATCAGTGTAGTAAAATTTGATATTTTTCATTAAAAATTAAACCCTTTGATAAATTCGATTAAATTGAACCCAAATTTTTGCATATGATTTTCAATATCTTATAATTAATTAATTAAGTTTGAAATGTAAATCCCTTACACTTACGAATATTTCCCGTAGATCGAGCTCGTCTTCTCAAACCCCACCGCCGTCTAATATTTGATGAATTACTACTTTCTTCTAGTGCTAATGTCAAATCATGCACCAATGCCTCCATTTTAACTCTCAAATCCACTGGAACAGCTTTCAAAACACGCTCCATCGGAAGTTCACTATCTTATCTGAAATAAAAAAAAAAAAAACTTTATAATTTTATGACTAAATCATGATTTTATCGTATAAATAATTGAAAATAAATTATTATAAATAAATACATTTAATGAATTAGTATTTACAATTCAGAATGACAATTTATTCTTTGGTCATGATAGATGTATGACATTGCATATCTACCTAAATAACCGAACCTCTCATCAAATACTTGAGAAAAATTTTATAAAAATTACTCAAAAATATACTTATAATACTGACATAAATAAGAACAATAATTTTATTAATTACACAAACAACGTTTACACTTGGATACACATTAACATTATACAATGTTAAACTATCATAGTTCCAATGCAGTCTGTAAAAATATAATCTAATCTTTAAAATTTGATATGAAACGTTTTCAATAATGATAATAACAGTAGTAATTAGCTCTTAACTTTTTAGAAATATAAATAAATTATTAGAAATTTAATTAATTAACTAGACCAACTGTCAGCTGGGTTTATCAGCCAACTGGGTTTACAACTATGTACAGTAGGGTCGGCAAAATAATACTATTCGGGTGTTTTCGTTTCTATAGTACAATCCTGATATCTTGTTGAATTTTAACTACTTTTACTATGGAGGCTATAGTGTATAGTCTCTGACAGTCTCCATAGAATTATTATTATTACGTCATAATTGTGTTTTTTTTTAATAGAAGGTTTACATTTTTTTCTCTCTCGTCCTCTAGTGGATAAACGAAATTATCTCTGTCACACTTGTACAACAAATGAAATCGTAAAATGCATTTTATGCATAAATAAATGAAAATTAAAAAAAAAAAAATAAGCGTTTTGCTCTTCGATAGATAATTAAATTATCTATCGAGGACCGTACCGCTTATTTTCAAAATTTTATCTTATACGTGAATAAAAATGTCTTATTAATGTCTTTATGAAAAACTTTTGAAACAAACTGAAATTACTTTATCAAGAGTTGATTCTTTTATATGTAGATTAACTCACTTTTGAAAAAAAAATTTTAACATTGTTAATAATTTACGATTACTTGAATAATCTAAAACTTTTATTTTTTTATATATCGAATTTTTTATCGTAGAAAAAAAAATTTACACGTTTTTTTTTTGACAAATATTCCTTAATCTTCAAAATTCATTTTACAGTTGAGTCTCGTTATGAGTCCTATTAGTGTCTCTCTCATATTAACGCGAGTCTGATTTAAAAAAAAAAAAAAAAAAAAAAAAAAAAAAAAAAACAAATACGACTCATAGCGAGACTCGACTGTATTTTGATGTGATAAAAATTATTGTGGTCTAATAAAAAAAGGTGTTGATTAGTTAATTTTTCAATAAAAATATTTTTTTACCGCATTCATTTTATAAAAACTTTTTATTAAAAAAATTTAAGTACATAATTCATATAAATAACTATATATATATATATATATATATAAAGGATAACTCTACTTAGAGGCAAGATGCAAAAGGCACAGATACTGTATACATCTGAATTTTCAGTATGAAATTAAAATTTATATACAACTTTATTCGCATCAGAAAATTTTAATGCACTTTTTTTTTTTTTTTTTTTTTTTTTTTTTTTTTTTACCAAATATTAAATTGTTTAGATTTATTATTACACATCTATTCGTACTTCCTTTTAAATTTTCTATTAGAATTTAAAAGTTGAAATATTGTCAATTACATAAATTGATTAAAATAAATATTTTGAACGAGTCACATATAAATTAAAAAAAATGGTTAAAAAATAAATTTTTTGTTCCATAGATATTTACAAATTTTTCATCGATTTTTCTAAAATACAGTATACGCCAATGTCATTAGTAATAATAATTAATATTAATAGTTATAATAATATAATGGCAATTATAAATCGATTGTCGTCTTGGGACAACCAAATTATCACTTAAAACTTTTTTACTTATTTTTATACGAATTTAAGAGGTACTTTTCTAACAAGGCACTAAATTTACTGTTAGTGACTATTTTTTCCAATCATATACAAAACTAATCTCAATACTGTACTCAAAACTAAAGCGAAACATAACTTTTATTAGTGTCATGTACTATCGTGTAGTTTTGTTCTAATTGTATAAAGTCGCTTTTATAATAAAAAATAAGTCATTTTCACTATATACAATTTGAAGAACATTTCATTTCATGTTTATATATAAATTTAAATACACCCTAACTTTTTCAAGAAGCTGCCGTTTTCAATTAACACAGATTACTTGTATTAAATAATAATAATAATTACTGACTTAATAAAACTTAAATAAAAAGTTTGCAAAATACCGCAATATATTTTAGTGAAATCAAGTCTAGTTGAATGCTAATAGAGTATGATCAATCCATGGATGATTGTGTGATATCGGCTTTGGATCCGTTGAATCCAGCAGAACTTGTAAGGGAACCATCGTTTCCATTGATAGTGTTGTTGACCTGGCCATTTGTAAATGATGTCATTTCCATTGACAGTTGTTGTCCGTTCTATTCAGAAATATGTGTGTTGTTCGTTCGCTTCGTTTTTCAGATCTAGCAGAGGAGGCGTGTAGGCATAGTAATGTATCGTGTGTTGTGTTTATTTATTTACTTTTTACTCTTGAAAATGAAATTAAATAAACGTAATAACAGAAAAGAGAAAGAATATTAAGAAAGAAAAGTTAAAACGTTTGAAAGAATGCTTAGATAAGCTTGTGCTATAGGCATTTAAAATAAGACGTCGAGTAAAGGATCTTGATTTGTAAATGTAATTAAAAAATTTTTTTTTTCTTTGTTTTGTTGAATTTAAAATAAACTTAATAATAGTTGGTAATATAATCAGTGTAATTGTCGTGATCCTTGACTCCCGTCTTCGCAAGATCTCAGTATCACTGAGATTGAATTACGAACCTTCGGTTGAATTGTACTATCCGAGGTGTCAAGAACAGCAAGAGGATTCGATGTGATGTTTATCTTAGAATCTGTCACACTACCGTTCATAACTAAACCATTTGCTATAGATTTACCTGTGAGAGTAATATAATAAGTAAATTTACAAACCAGTTATAAATAATAAAGTAAAATATGTATTAAATTTTACCTTCATTTTGTGAAGATTCACGATTTTGTTTGATTCGACTTTTTTTGTAAATTACTACAATAGCACTCAAGGCACCCAAAAGAATAACTCCTCCTAATGTACCGCCGATAATTGCATACAAAGTACCATTATGTCTGTTTCTAGTACTTTGTGGTCCACCATCTGGTAAAATTTGTTGTATTGGAGGTTGTTCTGGAGCTGCTTTTAATGTTTTTTGACGAATTATTTTTGAAAATTCGGAAGCAGCGTCAACAGAAAAACTTTGTATTTTAAATTCATAATTTGTGTCTGGTTGTAAATGAGAAATCGTAATATTAGTTGAATTTTTTCCTTCAACAGTAGTTTTAATATAGTCTCCAGCTGATGTTGAAGCGCGATGATAAACATAAAAGCCATCGATATCAACTGTTTTTTCAGGATTCTGCCAAATTAGAAGTACACGGTCTGGTCCAAGTGCTTCTGTATTTGTTAATAATGGAATGGGCATTTTATTTATTTCAAAACCTGACATACGATTTAAATAAAATCGTTCTGAATTCTCGCTAGGTTGATTATCATTGTTAGAATATACAGCGGCAATTCTAAATCGATAGGTACGTTCTGGTACTAAGTCTATCACTTCAAATGATCTAATATGATTTGGAATTTCCATATTAGCAGTGCTCCACTTGGATTGCTTGCTATTTGCTTTCGGTCCAAGTTCTTGATATTGAACCTTGAAAAATTGAATAGGAAGACCGGTTTTTTCAGGTACAGTCCACCGAACCATTACGGAAACATCTGAGAGACGTGTGACTTCTGGTGGGTTTGGCGGAACTAGTTTAGTTCCTTTACGATGATTTTCTTTGTTTTTTCTTCTATTACCACCTTTATTGTGTTTATGAAAATTACCCGAAGGTCCGTGTGATCCTTGATGTGAATTCATGTTACTGCCACTCATGTGCTGTTTAGCATTTACTTTTGAAAGATTGTATCCTGAATGAGAACCATATTCATTACTAGCTACGCATTGAAAAATTCCTGCGTGTATTTTTTCTACTGGATCTATAATTAGTTTGGAACCTCTAATTTCTACTGTGGAACTTGATTCAAGTGTTTCGCCATTAATTAACCACTCAATTGTCGGTTCAGGTACACCAGTCACATTGCAAAATAACTCGAGATAACCACCTTCAGAAAATGTCGACGCTTTAGGTCCTTTAACAACTTTTGGAGGTTCAACAACTTCTAAAATTATCGAAGTTTTTATATTATAATTATCATTTGCCCAAACGCAATGATACTCTCCTCTATCTGAAGGTTGTAAATTTGTAATACTTAATCCTGAAGGTTTGTATTGAGAAGACTGAGGTAAAGACCCTGCGAGTCTTGACCATGATAATTTTGGTACAGGATAACCCGCACCAAAACATTCTAAGATTACATTACTGTTTTTTAATACTTTATATTCTGTTTGTGGCTGTTTAATAAAGAACGGATTAATATTCTTTTTTTCTGTGTAAACTTGTAATTTTGTTTGATAATTGCTTCGGTAGTTTTCCGTAACAATATAATTTTCAGCAGTACAATCATAATTTCCGGAATCTGAAAGCTGAGCATTTTCAATAATCATTGTTTTATCACCAATAAGATTCACATTTTTTAGTAACATTTTATTTTTATAAAACTGAACAATTGCTTCCGGTGACGAAAATGGTACCGGACATGTTATTGGAACAGTGTTTCCAACTGGAATCCGTATTTCAATATCATCCTTGTCAGTAAATTTATCAATCTTTGCAAGTTTCAATCTGCCTGGTTCAGATGCAAGACCACTTGTGCCTAAAATAAAATTACTAATTATCCATTTTTTCATAGTAAATTAACAAATTTATTAATTAGAATTTTTTATGCTTACCGTAAAATGCAATACATCTGTAATCTCCAGCTTTAGATTCATTATCAAAGTTTACGACAAATTTTGAAGTTTTACCTCCGCTATTAGGCATTGGTATAAGAGGACCCCAATGTTTGGAATTCAGCGCACGATGACGCCAAGCAAATTTATCAGCTTCTAAGTTTAAACTGCATTCAAAGTCTACTTCGTCATAGAGAGGAGCTTCTAAAGGCTGAGGGTGCCGAGTAAACCACATTCCAGATTCTTGTCGATAAGCTACATGAAAATAAATTAATTGAAAAATTAAAAAATTATTTTTTTTTTTTTTTTTTTTTTTTAATCAATATTTTGAATTTTAATTATTTACCGGATACATTGAAATCCAAGGATAGTAGAAATATTGTGAAAATACCGATAACTTCGAATGTTAATTGTCCCATCTTGATACGTTCTAAAATAAAAAACAAAAAATTGAATTTGTCATGTATAAAAATATTAATAAAGTTCAATTGTTTTATATTACGTGAATATGTGTCAACGTGCCATCAAGGAAATTTAAGTTTAGAAACTACCTATTTTGTTATTCTTTCTTATTTAATACCCTTCTTTATTTACTTTTGCTTTGAGCTCACGTAGGTATATATATAGAACACTTACGCTCCGAACATAGTCATGCGTAATCGAATAAGTTGTTTGCAATTTAGCAAACACTTCTTAAAAAAATAAATTATTGTAAACATTTTTTTTCTATTACAACAATTTACATTTTTTAATTTCCTCAATAAAATCGATTTAAGGGATCAAATATATACAATTAGAATCTTATTTCCTTATTTGGTTAAGAATAGAGTAACGCTTTCCACATGAACGGTTTTACACCCACATGGTCGCTCATGTTGATTACTGAGATGGTGCATAATCTTATATCGAGAGAAAGCCAAACAAAAAGACTAAGAATGATGATGAAAGAAAGAGACTGACTGCAAGAAAAATATTTACTAATTGGGCAATATCATTGAGTGTAGGTTGTTTCATTCTTAGAACTTTTTTGAAATTTCATTCTTCAATCACTCACGGTTATACTTTTTCTTTTTATAATTCAAATGAATCTAACGGGTTTATACTTAGTGTCTTGTTGGATTAAATTAAATAAAGTACATAAACTTGTCAATATAGATACTAGGCAATTAATTGAACGAACGAGTTATCGGATGAAAATATTTTCTCAACATGCATAGTATATAAAAGGCAACTTATTGGATTGTTTCTTGTCTTCCTTATAAATTAAAAAAAAATATTCTTTCATTTTTATTTTAATTTTAGCTTAATTTTTTGAAATTTAAATTTCAGAATATTGCAGTATTACATACAAAAATTGACTGATTTTAAATAAAAACTATAAATAATAAATAATATGATAAAAAATAACAAATTAACTGTGGTTTCGTTAAAGAAACACAAAAAATTAAAATAACATAAAAAATAATCATGTTTTCAATACTTAGTTTAAGTTATTGCTTTTAACAAATTGATCAATTAATGAAGCTGATAATTTTTACATCAAACGCAGATTTTGTTAGGATGATAAATTTTTGTTGAGAAGTAATTCAATTTAAGACGGATCGTACGATTAACAAGTTACATATTACAAAATGACTTCTTTTTCATTATTAACAAATTTTAGATCTTTTATTTTTCGTTAATATAATTATATTTTGCAATGAAAACTATGACTTCATAACAATTAACTATATGAGACTTGTTTTTTTTTTTTCTTGTTTCAATAAATTAATTCAAACAAACTTATAAACGATTATTTGCCTTAACTTGAACACGTTTCAGAATGATTGTATTTACCTTATTTATCTTTTTGGTGTGGAATCTTTATCATTGAGCGAAAATACAAAGATAACAGTTTTGTATGAATTAGAATTGTTATAATACGTTAAAAAAATTAATGACTAAAATTTCGTATTTTCAGTCATGTTAGATTTAAAAAAAAAAAAATTCGGAAGTAAAATATATTGTCAGCTTTTAAATCAAAGGAAGTACACTTGAGTTATGCCATGTGTGTTACTGGATACTCAATATAAAGCAAAACTTTTTCTCTCTTTTTTTTGTCATCATCGACCGTAACAATAGATGAGCTCCCGTTGTTCTTTTATCTACATCTTCTCGATTCCCACGAGGTTCAAGGAAGTTTCTTCGTTAATATACTTTTCCGCCACTTATAATAGAATCGTATCACATAAGTTTGTCAACCAATAAAATCGTCGAAATTTTTTTAAACGTCAATTATTTCTAAAATATTACAAAAATTAGTTATTGAAGCAGATAGAAATTTTTAGAACTAGCTACTGAGAATAAAAAAATTTTTTTTTTAAATATAAGGTTTACTGTGAGATTCATACAACATATTCATCCATAAAATTGTTTTTCTTCGAGTCCTTTCAGGAGTTAAAGATTAAGAGCTGTTGTCTTAGTGTTTTAAAATCGTTTTGTACAATTTACCTTTTGGTGTATAAAATAAAATTAAAAAAAAAAAAAAAAAAAAACAAATAAAAAACTCATATTACAAATCATAATGAAAAGAAGCAATATATAAATAATGAATTTGTTATTTACCCATTTGTGATTGTCTTGTAAATGCTGTCATTGTTTATCTCAAGGTATTGTATAGTTGAAATTTTTCACAAAAAGTCACAGAAAATTATAAATAATATCACAAACTTACTCCATTTTCTTAGTTCCACCTCTTTCTTCGAGTTTTCTGATTCAACTTTTATTTTATTATTTTTTTTTTTATACTCGAATTCCGTGGCTTACGGTCAACGCGGTGTTGCCGAACGAGACACACTCTACTCACTTGTATTTCGCGACGATGCTTCTTGGCGTCTTGGCGTCCAACACATCGTTGGAATGCAGACCGACAGGTTTCTAAGGCACGCCGCTGAAGACTAAGTTAAATTTCCGAGTCTCTGACTAGTCTGACTCAAAATCTCTCTGAGTGGTGTGCTGCCTTTATTTTCTCGCGGGTGTTTTACTTTTATGGTGTTCTTTAATATTTTAAATGCAACGCCACCTAGTTTCACGCTTACACCCACACATAAAAATATCCTGTGGTCCTTGTTGGACTTTAATAATTTATGTTAATTTTTAGTACATTTTTTTGTCAGAAAGTACTGGTTGGCATTTACAGATTATTTATACTTACTTTACGTTTTTAATAACAATTAAAATTATTTATCTCTCATAACATTAAACATTCATTTGTGAAAATTAAAACTAAAATTATGTGACTTGAACTTTTGAATAAAAATTATTAATTTAAAAACATTTTAATGAAATTGCTAGATTCTTAAGTATTTTTTTTTTTTTTGACAAACCAACAACTGACGATGTTGAAATAACTTAAGGGGCCATGAAAGAAGATTTGATAACATTTTTATGAGATAATTTTTGGTGCATTGTTTTGAGCTAAATTTTGGACAGATTTTAATAAAATTTAAA